GTCTATGTCTAGTCTATGTCTAGTCTATGTCTAGTCTATGTCTAGTCTATGTCTAGTCTATGTCTAGTCTATGTCTAGTCTATGTCTAGTCTATGTCTAGTCTATGTCTAGTCTATGTATAGTCTAGTCTAGTCTAGTCTAGTCTATGTAGTCTATGTCTAGTCTATGTCTAGTCTATGTCTAGTCTATGTCTAGTCTATGTCTAGTCTATGTCTAGTCTATGTCTAGTCTATGTCTAGTCTATGTCTAGTCTATGTCTAGTCTATGTCTAGTCTATGTCTAGTCTATGTCTAGTCTATGTCTAGTCTATGTCTAGTCTATGTCTAGTCTATGTCTAGTCTATGTCTAGTCTATGTCTAGTCTATGTCTAGTCTATGTCTAGTCTATGTCTAGTCTATGTCTAGTCTATGTAGTCTATGTCTAGTCTATGTCTAGTCTATGTCGTCTAGTCTAGTATATGTCTAGTCTATGTCTAGTCTATGTCTAGTCTATGTCTAGTCTATGTCTAGTCTAGTCTAGTCTATGTCTAGTCTAGTATGTCTAGTTAGTTCTAGTCTAGTCTATGTCTAGTCTATGTCTAGTCTATGTCTAGTCTATGTCTAGTCTATGTCTAGTCTATGTCTAGTCTATGTCTAGTCTATGTCTAGTCTATGTCTAGTCTATGTCTAGTCTGTCTAGTCTGTTAGTCGGTCTAGTCTATGTCTAGTCTATGTCTAGTCTATGTCTAGTCTATGTCTAGTCTATGTCTAGTCTATGTCTATGTCTAGTCTATGTCTAGTCTATGTCTAGTCTATGTCTAGTCTATGTCTAGTCTATGTCTAGTCTATGTCTAGTCTATGTCTAGTCTATGTCTAGTCTATGTAGTCTAGTCTATGTCTATGTCTATGTCTAGTATAGTCTAGTCTATGTCTAGTCTATGTCTAGTCTATGTCTAGTCTATGTCTAGTCTATGTCTAGTCTATGTCTAGTCTATGTCTAGTCTATGTCTAGTCTATGTCTAGTCTATGTCTAGTCTATGTCTAGTCTATGTCTAGTCTATGTCTAGTCTATGTCTAGTCTAGTCTAGTCTATGTCTAGTCTATGTCTAGTCTATGTCTAGTCTATGTCTAGTCTATGTCTAGTCTATGTCTAGTCTATGTCTAGTCTATGTCTAGTCTATGTCTAGTATGTCTAGTCTAGTCTAGTCTATGTCTAGTCTATGTCTAGTCTATGTATAGTCTATGTCTAGTCTATGTCTAGTCTATGTCTAGTCTATGTCTAGTCTATGTCTAGTCTGTATAGTCTAGTCTAGTATATGTCTAGTCTATGTCTAGTCTATGTCTAGTCTATGTCTAGTCTATGTCTAGTCTATGTCTAGTCTATGTCTAGTCTATGTCTAGTCTATGTCTAGTCTATGTCTAGTCTATGTCTAGTCTATGTCTAGTCTATGTCTAGTCTATGTCTAGTCTATGTCTAGTCTATGTCTAGTCTATGTCTAGTCTATGTCTAGTCTATGTCTAGTCTATGTCTAGTCTATGTCTAGTCTATGTCTAGTCTATGTCTAGTCTATGTCTAGTCTATGTCTAGTCTATGTCTAGTCTATGTCTAGTATGTAGTCTATGTCTAGTCTATGTCTAGTCTATGTCTAGTCTATGTCTAGTATGTCTAGTCTATGTCTAGTCTATGTCTATTCTATGTCTAGTCTATGTCTAGTCTATGTCTAGTCTATGTCTAGTCTATGTCTAGTCTATGTCTAGTCTATGTCTAGTATGTCTAGTCTATGTCTAGTCTAGTCTAGTTGTCTAGTAGTCTAGTCTATGTCTAGTCTATGTCTAGTCTATTGTCTAGTCTATGTCTAGTCTATGTCTAGTCTATGTCTAGTCTATGTCTAGTCTATGTCTAGTCTATGTCTAGTCTATGTCTAGTCTATGTCTAGTCTATGTCTAGTCTATGTCTAGTCTATGTCTAGTCTATGTCTATGTCTAGTTATGTCTAGTCTATGTCTAGTCTATGTCTAGTCTATGTCTAGTCTATGTCTAGTCTATGTCTAGTCTATGTCTAGTCTATGTCTAGTCTATGTCTAGTCTATGTCTAGTCTATGTCTAGTCTATGTCTAGTCTAGTCTATGTCTAGTCTATGTCTAGTCTATGTCTAGTATCTATGTCTAGTCTATGTCTAGTCTATGTCTAGTCTATGTCTAGTATCTAGTCTATGTCTAGTCTATGTCTAGTCTATGTCTAGTCTCTGTCTAGTCTATGTAGTCTATGTCTAGTCTATGTCTAGTCTATGTCTAGTCTATGTCTAGTCTATGTCTAGTCTATGTCTAGTCTATGTCTAGTCTATGTCTAGTCTATGTCTAGTCTATGTCTAGTCTATGTCTAGTCTATGTCTAGTCTATGTCTAGTCTATGTCTAGTCTATGTCTAGTCTATGTCTAGTCTATGTCTAGTATATGTCTAGTCTATGTCTAGTCTATGTCTAGTCTATGTGTAGTCTATGTGTAGTCTATGTCTACTCTATATCTAGTATATCTAAAAACCCCAAAATATCCACTTCTATAATTTATACATTGAAAACACTATTAATTTGAAATCAATTTATAGTTTAACTTAATACAGTTTTACTTTTTTATTTATATTTCCTTTAATTTCAACAAATATTTATTTAATTATTTTGTTAAGCTCTCTGATTTATTATTCATAACAATGTTTTTGTTTTTTATTTTCAAATTGGCTTTTTTCATAATACTAAAGTAAACAATTTTTTTTGTGTGATAATAAATAATTTATTATGTTTTTAAACAATTTAAGAAATTTAATTTGTTTTAAAGACTAAAAGTATTATTTATTTATTTTATAAACTATGATAAAAAAAGTTGTTTTAACTTTATCAATTTCAATTTAATTTCATTTTAATTTTTTTTGTAATATCACTCTCGCCTGGCCTCATTTTTTTGACTTTTCTTCTAAAAATTTTACGCCTGCATAGTTTTTGTTATTTGTTATTTATTTACTTTCAATTTATTTTTTTTTCAGTTTTAATGACATAATTTTGGCAAATTAAATTGAAAATCATGTAGCATCATCCTTGTCATTTTGTTCATCTTGTATGCTTTTGCCATTTCCATTGGCCTGTTTGGTTGTATTTTCATCTGTGCCAGTGCTGATGCTATTTGCACTGTTAACAGTTAATTTGGAATTATTTAATTCGGTTTCTTCTGGTATACGAACTTGGTCTGGATCCTAAAAAAAGAAAAAAATATATTTATTAGTTTGATTGGCATATGTAGCGTATGAGTACTATGATCAATTACTATATCAAGTATACGTTGTGGTATAAAGGTTGAAAGGGGTTTACGAATTAATACTAAATTTTTGGATTATATTACAGCTATACTTTTTAAAAAGAGTTGAAACATGCAGTTCAAATTCAATCTACTTGCAAAAGGTTATCATGGAATTTTCACATAGACTAGACCAGTCATAGATATATGTCCCCTAATTTTGATTCCTTGGCCCCCCCTTTAGTTTCTCCCTTTGCCAATCCTGCTTAATACACGATAAAATTCGATAAACATATGAAATACCCAACCCAAATTAAATGTGAAAATGAGATTTTCAACCAAGACAAATACTTGTTTCCGCAATTGCTTTTCCTTTGTTCTTAAAACCATTTTGTTTTTTTTACCAATGCTCTGCTGATTTTTATTCTCAATGCTTTCCCTCACAAGATGTTTCTTTTTAACGATTTTTTTCCTTTTATCAGCCCTCCTAGAAACAACTATGAAATGTATTGAATGAACTGTGGATTTACTTTAAAAAAGCAGCACATAGTAAGTAGTGTCATGTTGGGTAGGGTAACGATAGCGATGATTTTACTCTTGGTGGTTATGCCGAATGTTTTAAATATCAAAGAAAATTTCTTTGTGTTTATTTCTCATGTTATTTGCGCTGACTTTTCTCGTGAATTAAATTGTTTTTCATGGGTAAATGATACAGTATGCGAAATCTTTTAGGAAACAATTTAAAAATTATTATGTTAGCCACATTTCCTGTAGTAATAATAAGTAGTTTACCATAACGATCGATTTTTTTTATGATTTTAGAAAATTCTGAAAAATTCCAAATCAAAGTAATTAAGAACTGTGCAGTATGTTCAAATGTTTAAGTTATTCAGTTTGTTTACACTTTTGTCATTGCAATAAAGTGGCAAAAATGGAGGAAAATACGAAAACAAACAACAACAAGGACTAAAATAAAAAAGAAATATTGAAAGCAAAATTTTCAGTAAACAATATTATAAAATAATAAAATTTATTTTGTTTTTGTTTTTCATACTGTTATGACTGTTGGTAAATCTTGGTAGTTGTGTTTTTTTTTTTATTATTTTCCTTAGTATTTTGTAGAGATTTTCTTATTCTTATGTGTTTGATTTTATAAAGAAAAACTGTTTTGTTTACCAAAAGGAAAATTTTATACAACAAAGAAAATATGTATAAGAAAATAAAATTAAACGGAAAAAACAACAAAAGTAAAATAAAATTGAAAAAGTTCAATAACAAGTTTTAAGATTATCTAATTCTATATTATGGTAAGAAGAACATTTACATGTGAGCAATCTACTATAGTACATGCAATAGACAGTTAAAGGTAAAAGTATTCGTACAAAACAAAAGCTTAGCAGATGTAAAGCGGAGGAATACAAAGCAAAAACTTTTAAAATCAAAAAAAAAGCGGGGCAGAAAGGAAGAGGAGCGGAATGAAGAGCGGGGAAGGACAGCGGGAAAAGGCAGGTAAGGGGGAAAAAGTTGGGGGGGAGGAACGGGAGAACGTGGAGAACGGGAGAACGGGAGAACTGTAGAACGGGAGAACTGTAGAACGGGAGAAACGGGAGAACGGAGAACGGGAGAACGGGAGAACGGAGAACGGTAGAAACGGATAACTTGAGAACTCGTTGAACGGGAGAACGGATAACGGGAGAACGAAACTGGAAACTTTAGAACTTAAACTGGTATAAAAACTTTATAACTTTATAACTTTATAACTTTATAACTTTATAACTTTATAACTTATAACTTTATACTTTATAACTTTATATCTTTATAACTTTATAACTTTATAATTTATTATTACTGATCCCAGATAGAATGTCTGTGTCAAGCAGAACATTAGAGCAAATACCAGTAGGAATCCGGTGTTATACGGATGGCTCTAAATTGGGAGATAAAGTGGGCCTGGGATTTTATATTAAAGACGGAATGTGTAAATTGGATTAGAATAAATATGGCGCCCATGGCCCTTAAGGTCTACATCAGATGGGTACCAGGACACTCGGGAGTAGTCGGCAACGAAAGGGCGAATGTAATAGCTTTAAAGGGAAGGGAGCTCAAGGTAGTTAACCTGACGAACACAAAACCATTCGACGCAACAAAAGCTGAATTAAAAATATGGATGAGAGAATCCCATAAGGCCTCTTGGAATAATGAAACGGTGGGTAGATCCACAAAGATCCTATGGGGTGACCCTGATGAGAACAGATGAGAAATCTCCTCAAAATGAGCAAGTCTGAAGTTAATAGGATGTACGTATTCTGAGTGGACACACAGGATTACGAGCATATCTATACAAAATTGGCCGTGCGGATTCAGACGAATGTACTCTACATTCGTCTGAATCCCTTTAATAATTTTATAAAAGCTTTTTCCGAAATTATATTTAACTGAAATTTTAGAAGCTAATTTCTAAAAAAGCTTTTGAAAAAAATACTTTGCTTAAAAAGCTTTACAAGTAGTTTTAAGATATGATTGTTCATGACCGTTAACTTTTGCTCTTGACTGCAGTATAATTGCTAGCTATTTAAATTCGGAAACTATTTACTGAATGCTTTTGAAAAAAAAAATATAAATATTTATTGTTGGTGGCCATTAACTTTTCTTCTTTACTGTTGTATTGTTGCTAGCTATCTAACAGCTTAGTTGTTGTTTTTGTTTTTTATACACTGTTGTAATTGTTATTAAGATTTAATACTTCCTGACAACTTAAGCAAAGATATTGGAACATTGATAAGGCAAAGTGGAAAATGTTAAAAGCTTCTTTAAGATAAAGACTATATGCAAGCAGACAAAGAAGATATTTTAAGAGTATTTATATAAGAAATATGCATTAAAAATAGATTTTAAAATATAAAATGAAAGATTTCATAAAAAAGCGACTAAAATTTAAAAGAAATTCTTTCTTTCGCTTTAGTTTTATCAAATATTGAAGTAAATTTTTGCATTTATTTTCACTAACTTAAAAAAGCAAGAAAAATTATCAAAAAACGCCCACGACTTACAAATCGTAAGCCAATATATCCCAACTATAGTTTTGTAAGTAAATATCTGCCAAATATCAACCAAGTTTAGTGATTTCTTTTTTTTTTTTTTTTGCAAAATTTTTCCCTTTACACAATTTACATTTATTTACAAATTGTATATTCGTTTGCAAATATTGTTACTATAAACAATATTACCAGAATTTGCAAAAGATTTTTATTTTTTAAGCTTTTTGCCATAGTTGCAAAAAATATACAGTATTTGTAGCTATTGGGAAAATATTTGTAAATATCTACAAAATACCCACGTTTCATACACCAAAAATCCCTTGTGAATTTTTATTTTGACAGCAGCAATAGAATCGTTTAACATATTTTTGTTTTACATATATGTTTTTTTTTTTGTCGAAAAAAAAAACTATATGTTGAGCCTTAACACGGTAGGAAAAAAGATACCAAAAATATATTGTTATTCTAGCTGGCAAACACACATACGAATAGGTGAAGAATGTTGAAATAATAAAAATTAAAATACTCGTATTCGCAGGGAAAAAGTAGCAAAAAATGTAAAACAATTTACATACATAAAATAAATCTTAACAGTAAATATTGAAAATTCTAAAGATTTTAACTGTAATAGTCTCCCAGTTATAGGGAATATTTGCAATTTATTCATATGGGAGAAACCACGCCCCTTATGCTAGTTTGTCCAATTTTTGTGTTTAATAATAATTTGATAATAAAGCGTCTCCAAAAATGTCCCCAAGTACTCATGTGCATCAAGACAAAGTAGTCTATACCAAATTTTTCTGAGATATATAACTTTTAATATTTATTCCTTCTACAAATTTCGAAATAAAAAGTAGCCTATAATTCCTTCCAGATATAACCACGAACCCACTGTAAAAATTTCAAGGAAAACCGATCGAAAATCCCATCCACAAACAGAAAAATTCTAAATAAATATAAACACATATTTAATTTTATACCCAACATCAAAAATAGTGGATTTAAAGAGTGGATTTTGTCATTCCGCTTGTAACACATAACACGATCTAGCCATGTCTATTTATCTGTTGAAATCACGAAAGGGATCACGCGGAAGGAGTTAGACAGTCAAATTTTGCACAAATATTTTCGATTCATAAGGTTTGCTTGGTATTGAAAATGACCAATATCGGTCAGCGATTTTGCCTAGACCCTATATAAATGAAATACCATTTGAAGGGTCATCAATTAGCTAATTATATAGAAATCGTAATAAAAAACTTGCTCAATTTAGTTTTAGATAACCAAAAAGTATATGTAAAAAAAATAAAATTTAATACTCAAAACTATAGACTAGACTTGAACTTGACTTGACTTGACTTGACTAGACTAGACTAGACTAGACTAGACTAGACTAAGACTAGACTAGACTAGACTAGACTAGACTAGACTAGACTAGACTAGACTAGACTAGACTAGACAGACTAGACTAGACTAACTAGACTAGACTAGACTAGACTAGACTAGACTAGACTAGACTAGACTAGACTAGACTAGACTAGACTAACTAGACTAGCCTAGACAGACTAGACTAGACTAGACTAGACTAGACTAACTAGACTAGACTAGACTAGACTAGACTATGACTAACTAGACTAGACTAGACTAGACTATAGACTAGAACTATAGACTAGACTATAGACTAGACTATAGACTAGACATAGACTAGACTATAGACTACGAATAGAACTAACTATAGACTAGACTATAGACTAGACTTAGACTAGACTATAGACTAGACTATAGACTAGACTATAGCTAGACTATAGACTAGACTATAGACTAGACTATAGACTAGACTATAGACTAGACTATAGACTAGACTATAGACTAGACTATAGACTAGACTATAGACTAGACTATAGACTAGACTATAGACTAG